AACAAAAAAAACAAACAAATCATTTAGGAATAGATCTCGATCCAAGTAAGTTAGAAGTCTAGTTGAATCTCATGAAAGTTCTTCACTAAAACAATATTTACACTGGGCAGCTGTAGTATAGCGTTGTTTAAACATTTGTTTAACAACAAGTAAAACAACTCTACTCAACAGCTGCCCAGTGTAAATATTGTTTTAGTGAAGAACTTTCATGAGATTCAACTAGACTTCTAACTTACTTGGATCGAGATCTATTCCTAAATGATTTGTTTGTTTTTTTGTTTTTAATTATGCACAAAGCTACACATGGGCTATCTGTGCTCTGCCCACCACGGGTATCGAAACCCGGTTTCTAGCGTTGTAAGTCCGCAAGACATACCGCTGTGCCACTGGGGGGGGGGCCCTAAATGATACAAACCTGCAGCATCAGAATAAAAGTATACAAAGTTATTAGTCAAAAAATAAACATGGTTACCTGGTAACATTTTTGAATTTTTGTTTCCATCGGTTTTATCATCACAAAAAGCAGGAACTGTCAATTTGTAGCTTAAATTGAATTAAATTGACAACTGCGTCTCGCTGCAATTATAGAAACAAGTAAAAATATATATAACGGAAAAAAAAATTATTTATCTCATTACATATCGTGAAACATTACACACAGTTAACATTATGTGGTTTTAAATCTTATAAAATCAACAGGTTACCTCACGTCACACGTAACCTGCAAGAACTCTGTGCCGCCCCACCTGTAACCTCAAGAAACTTTTCCCTTTACAATTTACTCTCTAACGTACAAGCTCATTAGCTAGATCATAAACTTAAAAGGGAAATTGTTGGTACAGACAATCTATCGTCATATCGTAATGTTTCCTCCAAGAGGTCATTTTAGGATCCTGTTTACCATGAGGTTTCGGAATAGATGGGTTAGTTAACGAGTTACAACTATTGTTTTCGGAGGTGGAACTTTTCTGCTTGATTAACGATATAATTTGGGTAAAATAACACCCTGTAATTTAATGCAGATTTTGGACAACGCCACCACCATTCGGCGTACTTTTGAGGGTTGATTAATAATCCATCCTATAGACTACACAAGTATTTTGTTTCTATGTGCACGTGTTTATATCACGACACTTTTTAGGCCGAGGAAAAATTAAAAACAAAAACTATGAAATTCATTTTTGTTTACGCCTATTTCAATTCGGCTATTTCGTACTAAGAGACTGGTTTCATGTAACCTCGCCTTTCAATCCTGTTTAATTTTTTTTATTTACGAACATAGGACGTAATTAACACTATTTAAGTTTAACATACCCGTGTTAAGAATGCATGAACGACATGACAATATAGACAAACGTTTGGATACTAGTTGGTACCCTGCATGGCAAAGTTAACTATCCTGTGTTATATTTATATCTAGATCAAGTCGTTCCTGGACGGTATTCATTGACGTAAATAAACCGAAAGAATGTTTAAAAGGAGAGTTTGTTGTTTATTTGTTTGTTTAGCACAAAGCTACCACGGGTATCGAAACCTGGTTTTCACTAGGGGGCTAAAAAGGAGCGAGAGAGAGAAACAGAAAGTGTGTATAAAGGCAATTCGTAAGATCACACAAAATTGTATTTTTAGTGAAAATAAAAAAATATTTTTTAATCTTAAGTTTTATACGAATGGAAAAAGCGCCAACTGAAGACTCTCTAGTATATATTAATTTTGATAGACGTAAT